GTGTGTGTGTGTGTGTGTGTCAGAGCAGAGGCTGCTTCCTCTGAAAGTTCTTGATGAAACAGCAGCGTTTCTCCAGACTCCACAGCACTCCTTTCATTTCTCTCTGCATCTCATAAAGGCTCAGCGCAGGATAACAAACACACCGGGACGTGCGCTTTGATGAGAACTCAAAACAGATGAAGGAGAGTTACCTGTGAAAGCCACCGGCTACACAAAACAAACAGCCAGAGAAACTGAGACGACTCCATCAGCTTTAACCACCGAGAAGATCCCATAAACTCTAAGATAACACCACAGCTATAACGATCACGGCACAGAGGAAAGATATCGCTGGAATCACTTTAAGAAGGTATTTTGTCCAGCTGATTGACAGCCAATTAGAATCCCTCCTGCTGTAAGAGCTTGAGCATTTAAAGCTACAGACAACAAAGTTGCAGCGTTTATAATAAACAGAACGTTATCGTCCACTGGTGTGGATGCTAATACAGTTAGTAATCATTACAGTTAATGTTACACACATTATATTGCTATCACGTTATTGCTATCATTATAGTTATCGCTGTAGTTACTATTATATACATCAATATAATTACTGTTATAGCTACAGTTAATGTTATAGTTAGCATTAAGAGTTTTCATTTTAGTGTCACTAACCATTATAGTTATAGCTATCAGCATCATTGCATTCAGACTCGTGTTACAGTCATCATTATACAGTTATTGCAATAGTTATGGTTACAGTTATCGTTATTGCTATAGTTACTGTTATGTTTACCATTACAGTTATAATTATTGTAAGGGGTGTTTTATTGCAGTTACTGTTATGATTCACATTCTAGTTATGGTTATCACTAGCTGGGTTTCCATCCAAAGTTGCGAATTAACTTACACACAAAACTGGAATATAGCCATATAATTTCCATATATAATAAATTACTTGCGAGCTGACAAAACACAATAAATGTGGTCATTGCTTTCGGAGGCAGATGTTGCTATGGATGGAAACATAGCTACTGTAGTTATAGTTTTCATTATAGCTATAGATATTGATATAGTTATCATAGTTATGGTTCTTGGTGGTGAACGGGTGTTTCTGCATCCTCCTCCTCCTCACACCGTCCTTCATCACTCGTGTGAAACACACTCACGCGTTACAGTAGGGTTTCTTGTCGTAGCCTTTGTAGTTCTTCATGTTGAGCGTCATCTTACACACTTCACAGTGGAAACAGCCTTTGTGCCAGTTCTGAAAAACCACAGGACATCACATCATTACTGCAGATTCTGAGCAATTAATAATGCCACAATGATAACACAAGGGCATCTGCAGATTAAACACACTGTCCAGTCTGAACATGTGTGTGATTCACTGATGAGTCTGAAGAGATGGATAATAATGGCACACTGTGTTTCACTGATGCTGTACCGCGGTATACTCTGACAGTTACACGGTCCTGGATGTTTGTCATACATGTGTCCCTGCAGCACAGAAGCAGTGTTGAGTCGCTGGGGGATATTTGTAGCAACAGCCAACAATACATTGTATGGGTCACAATTATACATTTCTCTTTTATGCCAAAAATCATTAGGATATTAAGTAAAGATCATGTTCCATGAAGATATTTAGTAAATGTCCTACCGTAAATATATCAGAACTTAATGTTTGATTAGTAATATGCATTGCTAAGAACTTCATTTGAACAACTTTAAAGATGATTTTCTCAATATTTAGATTTTTTTGCACCCTCAGATTCCAGATTTTCAAATATTGTCCGATCCTAACAAACCATACATCAATGGAAAGCTTATTTATTCAGCTTTCAGCTGATGCATAAATCTCAATTTAAATCCCTTATGACTGGTTTTGGGATCACATTTAAATACTGTAATATTTACAAGCAGCTTCAAACAATACCAATACACTGCGATAATGTGCCGAAGACAACTCATGCTACTTTCTGAAAGGATTGTCCTGTCTATATTTGTTAATATTGTTGAGATCTGTGAGTTTCAATTATACATTTCTCTTTTATGCCAAAAATCATTAGGATATTAAGTAAAGATCATGTTCCATGAAGATATTTTGTAAATGTCCTACCGTAAATATATCAAAACTTAATGTTTGATTAGTAATATGCATTGCTAAGAACTTCATTTGAACAACTTTAAAGATGATTTTCTCAATATTTAGATTTTTTTGCACCCTCAGATTCCAGATTTTCAAATATTGTCCGATCCTAACAAACCATGCATCAATGGAAAGATTATTTATTCAGCTTTCAGCTGATGCATAAATCTCAATTTCAATCCCTTATGACTGGTTTTGGGATCACATTTAAATACTGTAATATTTACAAGCAGCTTCAAACAATACCATGGTATTACTGCGATAATGTGCCGAAGACAACTCATGCTACTTTCTGAAAGGATTGTCCTGTCTATATTTGTTAATATTGTTGAGATCTGTGAGTTTAAGTGTGAATTTGACAGATTTCACTGATTGAACGGAACAGTTACTGATAATGTCACTCGTGACTGTGAGATGTTGATTATGTAAGACACGAGCAACAAAACAGATAATAAGCGTCACACAGTAAAGTCTGATTCCCACACATCGCTGAGACAAACAGATAAAGCTGCTCTCGCTGTGAATCTGAGGTAAATAAACTCACACCTTGTCGAGGCAGCTGATCTTCTCCGTGGGATAGACGGTTTTCCCGCAGCGCGAGCACGGAGCATTCATCCTCGCAGCAGTTTTCAGCCCCTCACTAGCGAACACAAGCTCCAGCCCCTCACTAGAGAACACAAGTGAACAGCCCCTCACTAGCGAACACAAGTGAGCAGCCCCTCACTAGCGAACACAAGTGAGCAGCCCCTCACTAGCGAAAACAAGTGAACAGCCCCTCACTAGCGAACACAAGTGAACAGCCCCTCACTAGCGAACACAAGTGAGCAGCCCCTCAGAAGCGAACACAAGTGAGCAGCCCCTCACTAGTGAACACAAGTGAACAGCTCCTCAGAAGAGAAGCGAACAGCGCACCCCCGAGGGGTGGGGGGTGGGGGGTGACTCACATACATACACATACTGTATAATAATAATGTCCACAATGTAAAGACAAAACACAGAAAAACATAGTTAGCATTTCTGGCCGTTATATAAGCGCGTCACAGCGTATGGAGGACCAAACCTGCAGAAATGAAAAATAAAGAAATAAATGTAATAACAGAGAAATATGAAGTGTGTGTGTGTGTGTGTGTGTCAGTAACTGTCATTATTGTGTGTGTGTGTGTGTGTGTGTGTCAGTAACTCTCATTATTGTATGTGTGTGTGTGTGTGTCAGTAACTCTCATTATTGTATGTGTGTGTGTGTGTGTCAGTAACTCTCATTATTGTATGTGTGTGTGTGTGTGTCAGTAACTCTCATTATTGTATGTGTGTGTGTGTGTGTCAGTAACTCTCATTATTGTATGTGTGTGTGTGTGTGTCAGTAACTCTCATTATTGTATGTGTGTGTGTGTGTGTCAGTAACTCTCATTATTGTATGTGTGTGTGTGTGTGTCAGTAACTCTCATTATTGTATGTGTGTGTGTGTGTGTCAGTAACTCTCATTATTGTATGTGTGTGTGTGTGTGTCAGTAACTCTCATTATTGTATGTGTGTGTGTGTGTGTCAGTAACTCTCATTATTGTATGTGTGTGTGTGTGTGTCAGTAACTCTCATTATTGTATGTGTGTGTGTGTGTGTCAGTAACTCTCATTATTGTATGTGTGTGTGTGTGTGTCAGTAACTCTCATTATTGTATGTGTGTGTGTGTGTGTCAGTAACTCTCATTATTGTATGTGTGTGTGTGTGTGTCAGTAACTCTCATTATTGTATGTGTGTGTGTGTGTGTCAGTAACTCTCATTATTGTATGTGTGTGTGTGTGTGTCAGTAACTCTCATTATTGTATGTGTGTGTGTGTGTGTCAGTAACTCTCATTATTGTATGTGTGTGTGTGTGTGTCAGTAACTCTCATTATTGTATGTGTGTGTGTGTGTGTCAGTAACTCTCATTATTGTATGTGTGTGTGTGTGTGTCAGTAACTCTCATTATTGTATGTGTGTGTGTGTGTGTCAGTAACTCTCATTATTGTATGTGTGTGTGTGTGTGTCAGTAACTCTCATTATTGTATGTGTGTGTGTGTGTGTCAGTAACTCTCATTATTGTATGTGTGTGTGTGTGTGTCAGTAACTCTCATTATTGTATGTGTGTGTGTGTGTGTCAGTAACTCTCATTATTGTATGTGTGTGTGTGTGTGTCAGTAACTCTCATTATTGTATGTGTGTGTGTGTGTGTCAGTAACTCTCATTATTGTATGTGTGTGTGTGTGTGTCAGTAACTCTCATTATTGTATGTGTGTGTGTGTGTGTCAGTAACTCTCATTATTGTATGTGTGTGTGTGTGTGTCAGTAACTCTCATTATTGTATGTGTGTGTGTGTGTGTCAGTAACTCTCATTATTGTATGTGTGTGTGTGTGTGTCAGTAACTCTCATTATTGTATGTGTGTGTGTGTGTGTCAGTAACTCTCATTATTGTATGTGTGTGTGTGTGTGTCAGTAACTCTCATTATTGTATGTGTGTGTGTGTGTGTCAGTAACTCTCATTATTGTATGTGTGTGTGTGTGTGTCAGTAACTCTCATTATTGTATGTGTGTGTGTGTGTGTCAGTAACTCTCATTATTGTATGTGTGTGTGTGTGTGTCAGTAACTCTCATTATTGTATGTGTGTGTGTGTGTGTCAGTAACTCTCATTATTGTATGTGTGTGTGTGTGTGTCAGTAACTCTCATTATTGTATGTGTGTGTGTGTGTGTCAGTAACTCTCATTATTGTATGTGTGTGTGTGTGTGTCAGTAACTCTCATTATTGTATGTGTGTGTGTGTGTGTCAGTAACTCTCATTATTGTATGTGTGTGTGTGTGTGTCAGTAACTCTCATTATTGTATGTGTGTGTGTGTGTGTCAGTAACTCTCATTATTGTATGTGTGTGTGTGTGTGTCAGTAACTCTCATTATTGTATGTGTGTGTGTGTGTGTCAGTAACTCTCATTATTGTATGTGTGTGTGTGTGTGTCAGTAACTCTCATTATTGTATGTGTGTGTGTGTGTGTCAGTAACTCTCATTATTGTATGTGTGTGTGTGTGTGTCAGTAACTCTCATTATTGTATGTGTGTGTGTGTGTGTCAGTAACTCTCATTATTGTATGTGTGTGTGTGTGTGTCAGTAACTCTCATTATTGTATGTGTGTGTGTGTGTGTCAGTAACTCTCATTATTGTATGTGTGTGTGTGTGTGTCAGTAACTCTCATTATTGTATGTGTGTGTGTGTGTGTCAGTAACTCTCATTATTGTATGTGTGTGTGTGTGTGTCAGTAACTCTCATTATTGTATGTGTGTGTGTGTGTGTCAGTAACTCTCATTATTGTATGTGTGTGTGTGTGTGTCAGTAACTCTCATTATTGTATGTGTGTGTGTGTGTGTCAGTAACTCTCATTATTGTATGTGTGTGTGTGTGTGTCAGTAACTCTCATTATTGTATGTGTGTGTGTCAGTAACTCCCATTATTGTATGTGTCAGTAACTCTCATTATTGTGTGTGTGTGTGTGTCAGTAACTCTTATTATTGTGTGTGTGTGTGTGTGTGTGTGTGTGTATCAGTAACTCTCATTATTGTGTGTGTGTGTGTCTGTCTCTCTTTTTTTT